GGAGGGAGGAGGAGGAGGAAGAGGAGGAGGAAAAGGAGTCGGAGGAGTCGGAGGAGGAGGAGGAGGAGGAGGAGGAGGAGGGAGAACAGAAATGGCATAGGCCTTTTGGATGCTTTCCGGTGTCTCTTCGGATGTCTCTTAAGAGTCTCTGGTAGGCCTGTTGGGGCATCTTGGGGGCCCCTTGAAGCGTCTTGGGTGCCTCGGGGAGCCTCTTCGAGCATCTTGGGGATGTCTTCGGAGCCTCTTGGAGGCATTTTGGGGGCATCTTGGGGGCCTCTCGGGGCCTACTGGGCGCCTCTTGCGGCCCACTTGGGGCACTCTTGGGAGCCTCGGGGGCCATCTTCGAGCCATTTCGAAGATGATCGATCAAAGAAGGAGGGGTACTTAATTAGCCCCCCCTCCGCCAGGAGGCGAAGACTCGGCCATAACCTAAGTCAAATCAATGATTTTGGCCTTCTCGCCGAGACCATCTTGGACGCTCTAACCCCCCGCGACCCCCCCCTGTCCAGGTCCAGGGGGAGGGGGATGGGGATGGAGTAAACCCCTCATCAAAGGGGAAGAAGGGCGTTGGAAGAGGAAACCCTCCAAACCACTCGCGCCCCCTGAAGGGCTGGTGGGGTTCCTCGGGATTCCTCAGGGGTCTTCAGGACTCTTCCGGATGCCTCAGGAGCTTTGAGGATTCCGCTGGCTTCTGCCAGACACTGCAGGATTCTGGAGGATTCCCCAGAATTCCAGGGGACTCCTCAGGATTCCTCAGGGTTCCCCGGGATGTCTCAGGATTTCTTCAGTCCCTTCATGATTCCCAATGACGCCTCAGGATTCGAAGGGTTCCCCAGGATTCCTCAGGACTCCTCAGGATTTCTCAGGATTCCGCCATGTTTCCTAAGGATTCCTGGGGATTCTCTGGGGGGGGCTTTCCTGCAGTCTTTTTTCGCAGTTGCCGCCGCAGTCCTACCACGACCCCTGCTGGATTCCCGCGGCAGCTCCTTCTGTTGTGCGGCGGCCCCCTGTCGTGTGTAGGCTCGCCAGTGTCCCACAGGGGCGGCTGCGCTGTGTCGGGCGGCCACATTTGTTCAAACCAATGTTTTTGTTTTTTTCCTCCCCCCTAACCCCCTCCTGTGTGTTGGCTTCTCTTCGCCCCTCCTCCTGCCTCCTGCCTCCTCCTCCTCGCCTCCCTTGCTCCTCTCTTCTCCTCCTGCCTCCTGCATCCTCCCCCCTCCTCGTGCCTCCTGCCCCCTGCTCTTCCCTTCTCCTCCTTCCTCCAGCGTCCTCCTCCCTTCTCCTCCTGCCTAGGCGGCGCCGGCTCCCTGGGGCCCTGGGAGGCTGCCAATTGCGCAACTCTCGCCACTTTCGTGAACTCCTGAGAAGACCAGCGGAGGCGGTGGGCAGGCGAGACCTCGCGGCTCCCTCGGGGGCTGCGCATTGCGCAGTTGTTGCCACTTTCGTGGGCTCCTGGGAGGCACGGCGGAGGTGAGGGCAGTGCAGATCACTTCGACGCCTCGTAGCTCACTTGGGGGCTGCGCACTGCGCAACGGTCGCCACTTTCGTGAGCTCCCTCGGGGCCACGGCGGAGGTGAGGGCAGCGCAGATTACTTCGACACCTCGTAGCTCACTTGGGGGCCGCGCACTGCGCAACGGTCGCCACTTTCGTGGGTTCCTGGGAGGCACGGCGGAGGTGAGGGCAGCGCAGATCACTTCGAGACCTCGCAGTTCCCTCGGGGGCTGTGAATTGCGCAGCGGTCGCCACTTTCGTGGGCTCCTGGAGGGCTCTGCGGGGTTGTGGGGAACGCAGATCACTTCGAGACCTGGCTTCTCCCTCGGGGGCTGCGAACTACGCACCTGTCGCCAATTCGTGGGCTCCTGGCAGGCACCGCGGAGATGAGGGCAGCGCAGATCACTTCGAGACCTCGCGGCTCCCTCGGGAGCCACGCACTGCGCACCCGTCGCCACTTTCGTGAGCTCCCTCGGGGACACGGCGGAGGTGAGGGCAGCGCAGATCACTTCGAGACCTCGCAGCTCACTTAGGGGCTGCGCACTGTGCAACGGTCGCCACGTTCGTGAGCTCCCTCGGGGGCACGGCGGAGGTTAGGGCAGCGCAGATCACTTCGAGATCTCGCGGCTTCCTCGGGGGCTGCGAATTGCGCAGCTGTCGCCATTTTCGTGGGTTCCTGGAGGGCACTGCGGGGTTGAGGGCGCCGCAGATCACTTCGAGACTTCGCGGCTTCCTCTGGGGCTGCGCACTACGTAGCTGCTGCTTCTTTGGCGGTCGCTTGATAAAAGGGTTGGGGTACGTCCCGGGTATTTTGTTCTGGGGGGGGTCTTCTTTGGGGGAGGGGCACAACTAGAGGACGGGGGGGGGGTCATGCAGAAGACCTTCCCAGGAGGAAGGGGCCCAGGGGATTTCTTCTTCTTCCTTCAAGGGGATGGCTGGACGGCTTCAGCTCGAGAAGCCGTCGCCCGCGTCGAGTTTCTGCTCTTGCAGCATGCGTATTTCTCGCGAGTCGGCTGGCCCGCATCTTGGATGCCATGGGCGGGTTGAGAGGCTTGGTCTGTGTCCCCAGCACATAAAGCACAGCTTTTTGATAGAAGGGCAAGATCGGTACCCAGGGTGGGCACCATAGCGAGCATCTCTGTCGCACGCAGTGTCCCATTCCATCCTCGACGTATTGCTTCATGGCGTAACCTTATCCATCTTTGCACTTTCGAGTCTATCATCGTGCGCTCGTTCACCAACTCGAGCAGTACAGGGGTAGCGCTTGAATGATCATGTCGCAGACTCAGAACTCTGGAACCCGAAAAGGGCATCGTGAACGGAGACTTCAAATGGAGTATTCTAGATCATAGTCGCGCCAGTTGTACCATCCTGGAGTGTACGGACAGTGACATACATGTGTCATGGTGGCGTGTCAGGCACTGCTTGTTGTCGGGCGACTCCTAGCCTGCCTCAACTCAAGCCTTGCCCGCTCTACCGTGCATGTACTTTGGGATTACGTCGCGCTCCTTGATTTCCCACATCTCAACGTGCTCTACGTACGCCATTCTTTATTATTGTTCTTCTTCTTCTTCTTCTTATTATTAGTATTACTACTCTTCTTCTTATTATTATTATTATTAACATTTTTCATGCTGACGGTGCTGTGTTTGGTTATCTTGTTATTGCTGATCGTCCCCATCGTGGCGCTGCTACGGCTGTTCCTTCTGCTGCTGCTCTGGCTCTTGCTCCTTCTCTTGTTGCTCTTCCTCTTACACCGTGTCCCTTGTGGAGGAGCTCGGAAGCTGGATAGGACCGAGTCCATTTCTCCTGTGCTGCTTGTGGTCGCTCACCTTCCACGCGTGTCCGCAGCACAGGACGGCCTGACCCCGATGCTCGCCGCGTCGATCAATGGCCACGCCGGGGTGGTGCAGGTGGGAACGGAGGGCGTCCCTTCAATTATCAGAGGCGGCGATAGGGGCGCATAGCCCAGGAGGGAGCAATACATGCATCCAGGGGCGCCGATGGTCCATGTCTTCGGCGAGGCTCCCGGGCGAATGCGTGCAATGCTCGCCCCTGGGCTGCTCGCCCCCATCGCCGCCCCCGAAAGTGAACCTGCTCGGATCTTCCCCACGGCATCCCGCAGCATCGACAAAGCCTCCTCAGAGCAGCGATGCGATTCTGTATCAAATCATGGGAGCCTGGTATGCCCTCTCAAGTCCGTCTTTCGGCGTCGACTCGGCGTCGATTGGCGTCGATCGGCGTCGATGCAGCGTCGATCGGCGTCGGCTCGCAGGGGCCGACGAGAGATGGTGCGGGAGGCTCCCAGGAGCTGCCACCGAAGCGATCCTCCTCCTCCTCCTCCGCCTCCTCCGCCTCATCCCCCTCCTCCTCCTCCTCCTCCTCCTCCTCCTACTCCTCCTCCCCCGTCCTCCCCCTCCCCCTCCTCCTCCTTCCTCCTCCTCCTCCTCCTCTCCTCCTCCTCCTCCTCCTCCTCCTCCCTCCTCCCTCTCCTCCTCCTCCTCCTCCTCCTCCTCTCCTCCTCCTCCTCTCCTCCTTCTCCTCCTCCTCCTTTCCCCCTCCTCCTTCCTCCTCCTCCTCCTCCTCGTCCTCCCCTCCTCTCCTCCCTCCTCCTCCTCCTCCTCCTCCTCCTCCTCCTCCTCCCCCGTCCTCCCCCTCCCGTGCCCACGGAGCACGGGCTGGGCCTGGCGCGCGCGGGCGTGCAGGGCGGGGGGCGCGGGGCAGCCGCCGCCTCTTCGCGGGGCGCCCGGCTCTCGGGGCCCCCGACGTGCGGCGTCGTGGCCCTCCTGGTGCGGGGCCCCCCGACGTCGCGACCCGCCCAGGAGGCCCAACAGAGGCCCCCGAGAGGCCTCCAAGAGGCCCCAAGAGGCCCCCAAGAGAGGCCCCCAAGAGGCCCCAAGAGAGGCCCCCCAAAAGGCCCCAAGAGGCCCCCGAGAGGGCCCCCAAGGGGTCCAGAAGAGGCCCCCAAGAGGCCCCCAAGAGGCCGAAAAGAGGCTCCAAGAGGCCCCCAGACGGCCCCCCAGAGGCCTCCAGACTGTCCCCGAACGAGGCCCCCGAGAGGCCTCCCAGGAGATGCCAACGAGCATCCAATAGGCCTCACACCCACAACCCAAGCACGGTGGCGGGATGGGCCGAAGGCCATTCGATCCGCCGCCTGTCCCCAGGGCCAGCTTCTCATCCCGAGTCGCTCTTTGACGGTCGAGGGCCCCCGGTTAACACCTTCTCTGACCTTCCAGAGAGCTATTTTTTAACATGGGAGGCCAAAAAACCTAAACAACTAAACGAAACAGCCAAACACCAAGATATATAATTGCTCTGGGATAGGTTTCTAAGTCGCGTGCTATTTTTTAGCCCTCCTGGAAGGTCAGGGTCCGTCGTGTTTCTGCCACTGCGCGGCGTGCACCCCTTCGTACCCCCGGGTGTGCCCCTCTCGACCGCCCTGCGCGTGCGACCTTTTCGCCGCCTCCCGAAGAGCTTCACGCTCGGAGGGCCCTCCCGTCGCGCGTTGCTTTTCTCCCTCTCTCTACCTTCGGTCGTCGTCTCCCTCCCTTCTTCTCTCCCCTCTTCTCTCCCTCATTCTCTCCCTCCCTTCGTCGTCTGCCTTCGGTTCCCTCCCTTCTTCTCTCCCTCCCTTCTTCTTCTCCCTCTCCCGTCGTCCCTTCGGCCTTGCCCTGACCTTCCAGGAGGGCTGAAAAATAGCACCCGACTTAAAAACCTATCCAGAAGCTATTCTACGTCTTGGTTTGAGGCCGTTCCGCTCAGCTTTTTAGGTTTTTTGGCCTCCAGTGCTAGCTCTCTGGAAGGTCAGGGTACCCTCTCCTGTCCGCGCCTCAATTTGGTTCGTTTCGGGCTGGGGTGGTTTCGGTGGGCCCCCGGGATCTAGGCCTCCCAGCTGGGGAGCAGACGGGGTCGTGGGATCGCGTCGCATCGCCGACGCACCGGCGACGCGGCTCGATCTGGATCCCGATGTTCTCCGCGCCGACGTCGCCGACGCATCGCCCACGTCGCCGATGCCTCGCCGATCCGTTGGCGATGCACCGGCGATGCGGCGCGATCCTCCGACCCCGTCTGCTCCGACCCCATCTGGGAGGCCTCCGGCTGTGGCGAGGTGCTCGGGCAGCCCCCGCCGACCCTGACCTTCCAGAGAGCATTTTTTTCACACGGGAGGCCTAAAAGCCTAAAAAAATGAAACGCAACAGCCTAAAACCAAGCCACATCATAGCTCTGGGATAGGGCCCCGGAGCCCCTGAATGGGCCAGAATCGCTGAACCGGGCTTGCCATGGCTCGTGTTTTTTCGGGTGACGGCAGTTCCGGTTCGTGGAGATGGGACGGGGGGGCGCCCCCGGTACAGATCACCAAACCAGGTTCCACGAAACCCAGTTCTACCAACGCCCGACCAGGGCGCGGCCGGCCGGGGCAGCAGCTGGATGCACGCGTGGCCGCGCCTCTCCAGCGCTCGGGCAGCGCGCGGCCAGGCATGGACTCTCGCCACGTGCGCATCCTCGGAGGAGGGGGAGGAGGAGGAGGAGGAGGAGGAGGAGGAGGAGGAGGAGGAGGAGGAGGAGGAGGAGGAGGAGGAGGAGGAGGCGGAGGGCCTCCGCGTGATCCGCATGGGAATCCAGCCATTTATTTTCTGGGGCTTCCTGGCAGGTCGCCCCGCGGGGTTGCGAAGAGCATCGCACGCCTCGCGCGAGCCGCGGCCTGGGCCCAGAACGGATGCCCCTCTTTTCCACGGGGGCGCGGCGTGCGGGTGCGCGGTTGGGCGCGACGGTGATCGCGTGTGGCGCAGCGCGGGGGGCGCAGTGCGCGAAGCCAGGTGGCCCAGGTCGTGGGCGAGGAGGCATGCTCCCCGAGGCGGGAATCTATACCTGACCACCGCCTGGAGGATCAGTTCCATGGAGAGAACCTCGGCAGGCGGCGGCCATGGAGTTCTGCTCGGGCCCCCAGGGGCCGAAACGTATCCACATCCATCGCCCGCTGGGGCACCAGCACGTCGGTTCCCAGGCGGCGGGCATGGATAAGTCTTGACCTGTGCCGTGCGACCGCCGTGCTGCACGCGCCGAGGCAGGAGCTCGCCTTGATGTTGATGGCTTCGCCTGGCACGCGGGAGCCTTCTATGGACGGGCAGGCGGGGTGCAAACAGTCCCCGCCTCGCACGCTCATGTCCGCGTGAGGCCTCGGTTCGCCGCGTTAGGCGTGGCCCGCCCCCGCTGCCTTCGCTCAATCCGTTGCTGCGCAGCCCGCTCTGAACTGACCCGCCGCCGGCGCGCTCGCCCGCGGCCGCTGACTAAAAATGCTCACGTCCGCGCCGTGGGCGCGGGACGTCCTGGCGCGGACGCCCCCCCCCCCCCCCGCGCGGAAGAGAGCCTTGCCCTCCGGGGGCCCGCGCGCCCCTCGTGGGCGGCGCCTCGTGGTCGGCGGGCGGGGCGGCAGCCGTGCGTGCGCGCGCCCGCCCGTCGGCCCGATCTCTCTCTGTGGAGCTTGCAGGCTGGTCGTTCGAGGAGGTCAGTCTCGCTGGCCTCGGGGGCGGAAAAGAGGGGGGTGATGACCTGGGGGGGGGGTGGACATCATGGCGGGGGCCATGATATTCCCCCAGATTTCTTGGCGCCTCTTCTTATTTCATTACGTCCCTGGCCTCCCCGCTGGGCCGCGCACATGCCGCCGGTCATGATTTGCACCCCCCCCTCGTGGACACCCCCCTCTCGGCCGCTCCTGATGGCCCTCTCTCCCCTGAGTCCTCTCGGCCACATCGTCGTCATTGCCGTCACTGCCGTCATTGCCGTCGTCGTCGTGGTCGTGGTCGTGGTCGTGGTTGTCGTCGTCGTCGTCGTCGTCGTCGTCGTCGTCGTCGTCGTCGTCGCCTTGTTTGATCAACCCTGCTGAGCCTGAGCAACTCGCGAGCGGGTGATCTCGCTTTCCATACATTGTACACAGATGTGTATATATGTATAGATACATATGTGTTGTGTGCTGTTTCTTTTGGTATTTCTTCTGCCCGCCGCCAAGGAAGGTGTCATATTGACAGCGGATGCTGCAGGAGTATGCGTGAACTCGGCGCCTAGGATCCAGTCAGTACGATTGGAGCGAGCGGTTAAACGTGGGCGGTGACGCCTCAAACCATCTCATGCAACCGGTGTCCTCTGATGAAGACCTGCATCGGGACCCAGAGCGCCTTGGTAATAGTCGAGATTGTATTCATATTTGGTTTCTGGTCCTTACTACTTTTTGGAAATTGCGTCGCGGGGTACCGTTTACTGCAACAGGTTATTTTCTGATTCCATGGCCAAGCGTCGGCTCTGTGAAGCACTCTTTGTTCACTTGCAGCAGCTGGTTGGTACCGCTGGCGCCTGCGCGGGAGATGTAACGTAGCGGCGGCATCAGCAGCCATGCATCTCCATGCGGCCATACACCCCTCGTCTTGCTACTGACGTGACTGGAAAAGTGAAGTGGATCCGGGCCGACTGTGCGATTCAGCGACAGAAGGCTCTGCTCCTTGGCGACCATCGATTTCTTTCTTTGTGCGCGTGTGTGTGTGTGTGTGTGTGTGTGTGTGTGTGTGGGTGTGTGTGTGTGTGTGTCGTCCTCCTCCCCGATCGCCGGAGCAGTAACCTCTGCCTAGCCGCCGACGCAAAAAAGGTGTGTTGCCTTCGGAGCCCGTGCTATCCTTGCGTTGGTCGGGTGAGCGCGAAGAGCACATCAGCTCCGTGCAGCACTCGCACGGTGGGAGCGTTGGCTAAGGAATGCGCCCAGGATGCTGCAGACCCTGGAGGATTCCTTGTCTGATGAGGGTGGCGGTGATATCCATGGCCAAACCTCGATAGGAGCTCCACTGGCCTCCAGACCCTGGATTCCTTATCTAAGAGTTCCTTATCCAATGCCCCCACCGTACTTTCCCATCTGGACCGTCTCGGAGGCGTCTCTCATTTTTTGTTCGTTGCGCTGCTCCCGCGTAACACGCGAGGTGCTGGGCGTTGTAATGCTTGGGGTGATGACGAGGTGGAGCCTGGGGCGTCGCCTGGTGGGCTGAGCATTCCGGATCCATCGCGGCGCCTTCGATCGTGGCCATGAGATGTTCTACTGGCCCTCTCGACTCCCCCTCCGCCCGCTCTCTCTCCCTCCCCTCCTGCTGTTCTCACCCTCCTGCCTCCTCTCCCACTCACTCCCCCCCCCTTCTCCCCTCCCCGTCCTCCGCACCCGCCCCCATCCTCTCCCTTCCCCTCTCCTCCTGGTCGCCTTGCCCTCCCCCCCGCCCTCCTGCTTCCCTGTCCTGGCTTCCGTCTCTGTCGCCGTTCCTTGCCCTCTCCCCCGCCCTCGCTCTTTCTTGTTCCTCCTCTCCCTCCCCCTCCTTGCCTTCGGCCGAGGTTCTCAGCGAGTGCAGGGCGAATCTCAACGGCCTCTTCCGAGGGGGCGTGTCGCCGCTGCACGCTGCGTCATGCAAGGGGCGCGCCCGCCTTTGAGTGAAGGGTGGAGGGGGAAGGGGGGACGAGTGAGTGGAGCTAACGAGACAATGACGGGTGGCCGCTGTGCGCACGTGCGTCTGCCGCAGGTGAGTTATTGAAGACGCCCGCGTCGAGCCATTGGCGCCTCCTGCCTTCTGGAAACGCCCGTGTCATGAAGTGTCGAGCGAAAGTGCGGCCACGCTAGTGGGCTGCGTGTTCCCCCCAGCCGCTGGGGAAACCACCTGGGGGGGCAGTGGGGAAGGGAAGGGTTACTTGAGGCGGTCTTGTGGTTGGCTTGGGGCCGTTTCGGGTCTTTTAGGCCTTTTTGTGGGCCTCCTGGTGCCCTCTTGGGCTATTTTGGTGCTGCCTCTGGCAGTCTTAAGTCGCTCTTGGGTTGTCTGGTGCCTTCGGAGGCTTTCTCGGGGGTCTCTCTGCGCCATTTTGGGGCCTGCTTGGAGCCTTTTCGGGCCGTCTTGGGGTCCTCATGGGCAGTCTTGGGGCCCTTGTGGGCCTTCCTGGGGTCCTCTATTGTTGCCCTATTTTGGGCCATCTGAGGCTGGTCTTGGGCTTGTCTTGGCCCACCTCGGACGCTCTTAGAAAAGGCGAGCATCCGAAACACATTCCCCAAACAGTGCTTCGTTAGAGGGAAACAATTCGTGAACACCCCCCCTGCCCTCCAAACTCAAGGTTGGCACGCGCGGGGGAGACTGCGGTCGAGGTGCAACTCATCAGACCCACCGCCAATTTTGAACATTGGGGGGAGGGGGAGGCATCCACAGATGAATGTTGCATGAGTGTTCGCTATTTTTTTCCGAGGCCTGTTGCACTTAGGGTCTCTTACTTCCTCCTGAGGAGCTGGGCCTGCCTGTCCGGTCTGGCGGCTGTGTTGCTGCCTCGTCGCCGCCCGTCGTCTGGGCCTGCCGGTCGCAGCGCTTGCTGCCGCCGTCGCCGCCCCGTCGCCGCGTCGTCGCCGCCCGTCGTCTGGGCCTGCCTGCCGGTCGCCCGCCGCGCTTGTTGCCGCCGTCGCCGCCCCGTCGCCGCCCCACATCGACTGCACAAGTTTTATTCCACAACGTAGATGGCGCATCGTAGATTTTACCATATATATGTATATATTGCATATCTTGCGCCACATTGATTGCGCACCACATAGATCGCACACCATAGACTGCACCGCAGTGTCTGCACCGTTTTAATTCTCCTTTCTAAAGAAGAGAATAGATTCCCCCCCCGGGATTATCGGTCCCCCTTTTCGTATTGCAATTTACATCTTATTTTGCCCCATCGTCCATCCTGAATATGAACTCGTACCATCCCAGCCCAACCGTTATCACTCCCCCCCGCCATCCTCCAGGCAAAAAGTACTAAGCGCACAAAGTCGTTTAACAACAGTTAGCAGTTTTCGAGAATCCCTTGCAAACGATGGGACGAAGTGCACACGCGCGCGCTGTCGCGCGCGCGTGCCAACATTCTTCAAAAACCTTTGGTTCCGTAAGGATTTCAAAATCGAGTGCCCCCCCCAAACTTGAACACATGGTTTCGCAACACGGATTTTCAACACAAACTTGCGCGTGCTGTTGCGAATTTCCAACGCAACCATAGGTTTTTCAACAGTTTCAGACCATGCTGCCAAACGAGCTTCCCGCTCGCGCATGTCGTAATCGTTCGAACGCCCTGTCGCGTGTGCTGTCGCGAGAATCCTTCTTGCAAAAAAAACAGGACCAAGTGCACGCGCGCGCGTAGTCGCGCGCGTCTACCGAAATCCTTCAACAACCTTAGGTATCGTGGGGATTTCAAAATCGAGTGTCTCAAACACATAAACACACATGGTTTCGCAACACGGATTTCCCCAAAAAGTTTGCGCGCGATCTTGCGAACTCCAATGAAAGCCATCGTTTTTTTTTTTTTTTCAACATGTGCATTAAAGTCTGCCAATCGAGCCACTCGCGCCGCATGGCGAAATCCTTCGAAAGCCCTTGCGCGCGTGCTGGGGGAGGCACGCGGGCCACTCTCGCGCGTCGGCCGCGCGCGCACGTGGAACTCCTTCCAAAACCTTCATCACTGATGCGAAGACGCCGTCATCGTCGTCGGCGTGATCAGCATCGGCGCCGTTACTGGCCGTGCCGTCGCCGCTGTCACCATCGTCGCCAGCACCGCTGCCATGAGATCGCGCCCGCCCAAATCGCCGACTCGCAGTGCAGTGCCCGGTGGGATGTGCCCAGCGGTCAGCATCTCCGCGGCCGCGTCGGTCGCGCCAAAGTAGCTGGCCGCTGCGCGCGCGAGCATGCGTGGGTTAGAGCGGCCGCAGAGATGCACCAGCCAGAACCAAACACTCATCGCAATCGCCGCCGCATGGTTTTGCAAACCAAGTTGCGGGAAGGTGGGTGGGACGATTTCGCGAGCAGTGGAGTTGACAATTCATTGCGAACAGCAACTCATTCTCTTTTCTAACAACAGAATCGACTCGACCCCCCCTAGCGTTATCCCCTCTTTCACGTATGTAACTCCTATATGCTTCTGACCACATGTCCATCTTAAATCTGAATTTGCACTATCCCAGAGGGGCCGGGATCGACCCCCCTGAGGTTCCCTGGTGAAAAACGATGCGCGGGGACATCTTTTGTTCTAACATCGCACTTTTTCGCGAATCCCTTGCAACAAATGGGACGAAATGCGCACGCGCGCGTCGTCGCGCGCGAACGCCGAAATCCTTCAAAAACCGTCGGTACCGGAAGGATTTCGCAATCGAGTTTCCAAAACACATACAAAAACACAGGGTTTCGCACCACTGATTTGCTAAAAAAGCTTACGCGCGAGCTCTTGCGAGATCGTAAGAAAACCATCGGTTTTTCAAGATTTTCACAAAATTCTACCAAACGGGCTTCGCGCGCGCGCATGTCGAAGTCTGTCGAACGCCCTTGCGCGTGTGCCGCCGCGAGAATCCCTTGTAAAAGATGGGACGAAGTGCAGACGCGCGCGTCGTCGCGCGCGTATGCCGAAATCCTTCAAAACCCATCGGTTTCGGAAGGATGTCAACATCGTGTACCCAAAAACCTACAAAAACAAAGGGTTTCGCGACACGGATTTTCAACAAAAGCGTGCGCGCGCTCTTGCGTCGTCGTCGTCGTCGTCGTCGTCGTCGTCGTCGTCGCTGTCCTCCCTCCTCCCGCGTCGTCGTCGTCGTCGTCGTCGCCTACGTCGTCCTCTGTCTTTCCTCGTGTTCGTCATCGTCGTCCTCTTTGGCGTCGTGGTCGTTTCCGTCGTCGTTGTCGCCGTGGTCGTCCTTCCTCCTCCTCCTCCCTCGTCGTCGTCGTCGTCGTCGTCCGTCGTCGGCGTCTCGCCGTCGTCCCTCCTATTTCGTCGCCGTCGTCGTCGTCGTCGTCGTCGTCGTCGTCGTCGTCGTCGTCTTCCCTCCTCCCTCGTAGTTGTCGTCGTCGGCGTCGCCGTCCTCCCTCCTTCTTCGTCGTTCGCGTCGTCGCCGTCCTCCCTCCTCCCTCGTCGTTGTCGTCGTTGTCGCCGTCGTCGTGCTCCCTCCTCGCTCGTCGTCGTCGTCGTCTTCGTTGGCGACGTCGTCGTCGGCGTCGGCGTCGGCGTCGAGGTCGGCGCCGCCGTCGTCGTCGTCGTCGACGTCGGCGTCGTCGTCGTCGCCGCCGTCGTCGTCGTCGGCGTCGTCGACGTCGTCGTCGTCGCCGGCGTCGTCGACGTCGTCGTCGTCGTCGTCGTCGGCGTCGTCGACCGCGTCATCGTCGTCGGCGTCGTCATCGTCGTCGTCGTTGTCGTCGTCATCGGCGTCGGCGTCGTCGTCGTCGTCATCGTCGGTGTCGTCGTCGTCGTCGTCGTTGTCGTCGTCGTCGAAGTCGTCGGAGACGTCGTCGGTGTCGTCGTAGTCGTCGTCGGCGTTGTCGTCGTCGTCGTTGGCGCTGGTGTCGTCGTCAAGTGCCATTTGGAACCTACCGTCACGGTCTTAAGAGGGTTTGCAAACCAATTTGCGGGCGGGTGGGTGGGATGTTTGCAAGAGCATGAGATGTGTTACATCATGGGTAAAAATCAATTGCACCACGTAGATTGCATTACACATCTTGCACCACGTATATTGCACAGTCCAGACTGCACACCACATGCATCACAACGTATATTACGCCACATATGTTCACATATATTGGCCCGCGCAGATCGCACAGGCACAGCATACATCGCACCCGCAGGTCTCACCACCTATATCGCGCACCATAGATTGTACAATCTAGATGTCACCACCTATAAGATTCTTCACACATATTGCGCAACATGTATTGCACCACATCTATTGCACCATGCAGCTTGCACAACATATATTTCACAACACATGCTGCACAACATACATTGCACTACATGGATTACTTCACATATATTGCACCACGTAAATCGCACCACATCGAGTGCACACCATCTACTGCATACTAGATATTGCACAACGAACACCGCACCACATATACTGACCACAAACAGTGCTCCACATAGATTGCACAACTTTTATTGCACCCCGTAGATCGCACTGCTTCTACTGCACAACGTAGGTTTCACAACATATACTGCACACAATCGAATGCACAACATCGATTGCACCATTCTTGTTGCTCCATAGGTATTGCACAACATGTATCACTATTTATAAGCACACGCACACACACACACACACTGTTTGAGTTCCACGCAGGCTAACATGTTTTTTTCCGGTTCTAAGATTTTGGCCTGTCGTGACGACACGACGTCACCGGAGGCGCCTTCAGAAGAACAGCGCCGCGGCAAGAGGTTCTGTGAGGGGCCCAGCCTTGACCCCAGAGGTCCGCGCGTAACTCCGAAGGTGTGCGTGTCGAGCAGTCTGTCGACCTTCTTGTTCTTGGACTTCTTCGGCTCGTGGGCGAAAAGCATATCCCTACCCGCGGCCCCGCGGGCGGGCCCACCTTGGGCCGCGACCCCGAGGATGCGGGGGGCGCTTCTCACGGATGCCCCCCGCGCGGAACGTATCCGTGCGGCCGCGTATCCGCGGGATCGGGCCCCAGAGTCCATGTCGCGAGGGCGCGGATACGGATATTTGCGCCGCTCGTGAAGATCTAGGCCTTCTAGGTGGGGTTGGAGGATCGCGCCGTAACGTCGATGCATCGGCGATGCGGCTCGATGTGGAGCCCGGTATTTTCCACGCTGGCGTCGCTGATGCATCGCCGATGTCGCCGATGCATCGCCGATGCATCGGCAATGTATCGCCGATGTATCGGCGATGCAGCGGGATCTTCCGACCCCGTCTACTCCGACCCCATCTGGGAGGCCTCTAGAAGAGCGCCTCTTGGGCCTTCTTGGGCGCTCCTCCGGCCTTCTCGCCCTCGAGGCGGCGCGGGGGCAGCGGCGCGCCAGGCACGTGGACGTCGTGCGGTTCCTGTGCCAGGTCCGCTGCCACGTCGATGCGGCGAGCGGGACCCGGGGGAGCGGAGGAGGAGCGGAGGGGTCCCTGGGCGAAGGGGAAGATGGGGGGGAGGAGGGAACATGGTGATGGTCCTGATAAAGGCGATGACTGGAGATAATGATGATGATAATGATGATGCTGATGATGATGATGATGATGATGATGATGATGATTATGATGATGATGATGATGATGATGATGATGATGATGTTGATGCTGCTGCCGCTGCTGATGATGACGAGGATACTGTCGAGGATGAAAATGATGATGATGCTGATGCTGCTGCTGATCATGATGATGATTATGATGATGGTGGTGGTGATGATGACGATGCGGATGAAGATGATAATGATGACGGTGATGATGATGACGATGGTGACGATGTTGATAACAATAAGAAAGATGATAGCGGTGATGATGATGATTATGCTGATGATGAGGTTGATGATAATCCCGATGCTGGTGCTGATACTGATTCTGATGAGGATGATGATGTTGATGATGATGATGATAACGGTGCTGATGAGGATGCCAATGATGATGATGATGTTGATGACGGTGCTGGTGGTGATGATTGCGGTGGCTATGACAACGACGATGATGATGACGACGAGTGTGATGACGAGGCTGGCTATAGTGATGATGATGATGATGATGATGATGATGATGATGTTGATGATGATTGTGGTGACAATCATGACGATGATGATGCTGCTGCTGATGATAACTATGGCGATGATACCAATGCTGATGAGGATGGGCAGGTACTATTGGGGACGATGAAAACGATACTGCTGGTGATGCTGCGTATGACGGCGATGGTCAAGATGCTGAGGATGATTCTCATAATGATGATGTTGATGAAGATACTGATGAGGATGAGAAGGGTGGTGTTGATGATTATGACGGTACTGGTGTTGGTGGTTGTGATGACGACGATGACAATTACGACGAGGATGAGGTCGATGAGGAAGACGCTGATGCTGATTACGATGACGATGATGACGATGATGATGATGCTGATACCCTTGTGTTGCTGCTGATTGTGTGTATGGTGGTGTTTGTGATGATGACGTTGATGACGATGCTGGTGAGGAAGGTACTGATAGTGATGATGATGCTGCTGCTGATGCTGATGATGGTAGCGAATGTGACGATGATGATGCTGATGATGGTTATGATGATGATGGTGATGATGCTGATGATGATAGCGATGATTCGGATGCTGATGACGATGATGATGTTTATGATGATGTTGACGATGCTGATGATGCTGATGATGATGACGATGCTGACGAGGAAGAGACTTATGCTGGTAATGCTGCTGATGATGGCGCTTGTGGTGGTGGCCGTGGTGATGACTGATGACGACCACGATGATGATGAAGGCGACGAGGTTGATGACGCGGATGATGGTGCTGGTGATGCTGATGGTGATCGTGCTGTCGATGATGATGATGAACGGATGCTTGTGTTGTTGATAGCGTTGATAACGCTGCTGTTGATGATGCTGATGATGATGATGATGATGGTAATGATGGTGCTGATGATTTTGATGACGATGCTGATGAGGCTGCGAATGCGGCTGGTAATGGTTATGATGGTGCTTGTGGTGATGTCGATTACGATGCCGATGACGATGATGACGATGATGACGATGATGATGATGATGATGATGATGATGATGTTGATGATGCTGCTGCTGCTGATGATGATGATGACAATACTGGTAGTGACGATGACGATGTAGATGATGATGCTGAGGATTCTGATACTGATTATGATAGTTATGTAGATAATGCTGGTGCTGATGCTGCTGCTGCTGATGATGATCTTGACGATTATGATGCTGATGATGACGATGATGATGCTGATGATGGTGTTGCCGATGCTGCTGCTAATGATTATGATGACGAGGATGACTGTGGTTTTGATGATGGTGGCGATGATGCTCATGATGCTGATGGTAAAGGTGATGACGATGCTGATGAGGACGATGCGGACGATACTGCTGATGATGATGACGATGCTGCTGATGATGATGATGATGGTGGTGATGGTGCTGGTTGTGGTTGCGGTGGCGCTGACGACGATGAGGAAGACGACGAGGATGTCGACGAGGATGAAAATGATGATGATGATGCTGATGATGATGATGATGCTGATGCTGATGCTGATGATGATGATGCTGATGCTGATGATAATGATGCTGGCGATGATGACGACGATTATGATGATGCTGAAGATAGCGACGACGACGTCGACGATGATGTTGAGGATGAAGATGCTGATGTTGTTGTTGATGATGATGAGGATTACGATGATGATGACGACGACGATGATGATGATGACGATGATGACGAGGATGAAGATGATGATGATGATGATGATGATGATGATGATGATGATAATGCATGCTGATACTGCGGATGACGACGACGATGACGATGACGATGATGACGATAATGTTTATGCTGCTGATGATGATGAGGATGATGAGGATGATGAGGATGCTGAGGATGATGAGGATAATGATGATCAGGATGAGGATGAGGATGAGGATGAGGATGAGGATGAGGAGAAGGATGAGGATGAGAATGAGGATGAGGATGATGATGATGATGATGATGACGACGACGACAACGATGACGACGACGACGACAACGACGATGATGATGATGATGATGCTGATGATGATGATGATGATGATGATGATGATGATGATGATGATGATGACACTGATGATGATGTTGATTGAGGACGATGGCGAGGAGGAGGTGGAGGAGGAGGAGGAGGACGAGGAGGACGAGCAGAGGGAGGAGCAGGAGGAGCAGGAGGGAGAGAAGGGGAGTGGGAGGGGGATGGGAGAGGACGTGAGATGAGGGAGAGGGAGAGAGGGGGAGGGGCAGGGGGATGGGGGAGGGAGGAGAAAGACTTGGAGCAAGGGATGGGAGAAGAATTGGGAGAGAAGGCGGATGCGATGGGAAGCGTTTTCTAGCTTTCTTACTCTTCCTGCTTGCTTACGTGACCTACCTGCAGTGCGCACTCCCAAGTTGGCACCTCTAACCGTCTTTTGATGTCGTAGTGTCCAAGGAGCACGCGCCGCGACAGCATGCTTTCCCAGGTCTCCAGACGGCGCACCTGGATCACGGGCGTCGTCGTTCCCACCTCCGCCCCTCCACCAGGGGAAATGCCGGAGGGCCCAAGTGTTCCCCCCCCCACTTCCGGGCGTACCTGATGTCCGCCCGCAGAATTTTTCCCCTCCTCGCAGCGGCACAACGGCCGAAAGCCGCTCATAGGCATGCTGTGGTGCTCGCAGGCTTTGGTAGGGCTCACTCCTTGCAGACCCCATGCCTTTGTACTGGGGCCTGCTGCAGTTCCCATGGGATCCCATCGGACCCTCACAGCTCTTGTCAGTGCTCCTGCCGCAGCCCCTCGCGTCCCCTTGGATGGCCTACAGCGTCGCAAGTTCCCGTCTGTGCTCACAGACGTATCGTGGCGCTCGCAAGCGCTTGCGACTGGCAGAGTCCGGCATGCTGGTGTGCGCACGTCTGGCGCTCGCGTGTTGTCGTGCTGATGACATGGTCTGGCTTCCTTCGCCGCTCGGTGGATCGTGGTGCCTGCAGGCACGTTGCGGTGCTCGCGCGCTGTGACAAATTTCACAGAAGGAGGCGAGGGAGGAGGAGGAGGAGAGGAGGGAGGAGAGAGGTGTGGAGGTCAGAGGAGGACAAGGTATCCATACCGCTACCCCCCCCTCGTGTTCCCCCTTGCCGGGCCTCCTTGGAGGCCCTCGTCGCCGCCTCCAGCTCCTGGTCAGAACGCGCCCCGGGAGAGGTCTGGGGGGTAGCGGTATCGGTACCTTCTGTTTCCCCAGGAGGGAGCTGCACCATTGAGCTGTTCAATCGCTGGAATATCATCCTTACAGGCCTGTGCTGACACAGGCTGATTGTGATCTACGCAGGCTGGTGGTTGCGCGCATGGCTTGTGGTGGTATGCGCAGGTTTGCGGTGGTGTTGTTTAAGGCTCCGGTGCAGTAGGGAGGTTTGTCCTTCGAACGTACACAAGCTTTCATACACCATGGCGGTGTACCGCTCCACGACGCGCCAGGCTTACAAATGATTGAAAAATTTGACATTGAGGCCAAGCACGCGCCATAAGTCGAACCCCCTTTTTGCCTGTTGCCGGCAAGCGCACGGACAAAACGATGATTTGGGACTTCCTAGCCCGTATAGGCCACTGGCATTCAGCTACCGCTGCCGTCACCACCGTTACCACCACTACCGTACTTAATTCTGAACGCTTCGCGTCTCCCCACCAGCCCATCTAGGAACGATTTCTAGGTGAGCTGCCACTACCAGGGGAGCGTGACATCATGTGGATATCTCGGGGGGCCTCAGTGAACTAGAGGTCTCTTGGGGCGTCTCGGGGGCCTCTTGCGGGCTCTTGGGGGCCTCTTGGGGCGTCTTGGTGGCCTCTTGGGGGCCTCTTCGGACGGCAAGCCGCTGGAGCAGGGCGCTGTCCTGCCTGTGCGGCGAGGGGCATGAGGAGCTGCTCCAGAAGCGGCCGAAGGGGGCGTTCAACCATGTGAGCATGGAGAACGCGGTGTCGTCCGAGCTGGAGGGCAACCAGCTGGGCCAGGCCATCCAGGCCTGAGGCATGCCGCCGTCTGCGGCGAACGAGTCCCGTGGCGGGATCCGCTGGGGGCTTGGGGGAGAAAAAAAAAGGCCTCTCAGGGTCCTCTTGGGGGCCTCTTGGGGGCCTTCGGGGTCCTCTTGTGGGCGTCTTGGGGGCCTTTCGGGGGCCTCGGAGACCCTCTCGATGCCACCTTAGATCACATCGATCAGGATCCCCTAAACTCGCCTCTGAACGCCCTCTTGGGGGGCTCTTGGGGCCCTCTTGGGTGCTCTTTCGGCGATCTTGGAGCTCCCTTGGGCGCCTGTAGGGGCGCCCTTGGGCCATCTTGTAGCCCTTCTGAGGCCTCGGAAGGCCATCTGAAGCGGAACAGGCGCGGAGGCAACACATGCTGATTTTCCTTAGGTACTTGACGGGCTTTGGCCTCTTGGAGGCGTCCTGGGGAGGCTCCACAAGACCCATTAGACTCGTCCTGGAAATGTCTTGGGGCCTCTTGGAGCATCTTGGAAGCCATTCTGCTCCATCTTCTGATATCTTGACCGATCTTTGAAGCCATCTTCCGCTCTCAGAGGCCCTCTTGAAGCCATTTTGGGCCATTTGGGACGCTCTGGCCGCTCGCGAGCTTCCCCATGCAGAACCGGGGGTAGTGGGTAGGGGGAGGGGCCACTTCCTCGCCGAAGGGGGGGCATGGAGTTAGATTCGCAAACGCACTGAACCACCGGCGCCCTGAAGGGCTGACGGGGTTTCTGGTGCAGGGTGAGGATCGGGGAGAATGCGCGGACCTCGAGAGGCGCATCAGTTGTCGACCTGTCAGGACGGCGTCCCTCTTGACGCCTTATCGGTGGTGACGCATCGGGGCGTCACGTAATCCGAGTCCCCGCTCGGATCTTCCTTCGTGGTGCTCCCTAGTCGGATGCTGTATGTAACCCCGTCGTCCTTCAGCATGCAGCTGCGGTGAGGTCATGCCGGGCGTATTCCTGGCAGATGCCGCGTCTACGGTGTTTGAACGTCGGAGTTGGCGGGTCCCCCGAGCACGCGCCAAGCCTGCATGGCCCCGACAAGGTACCGTACGGCCTACCTTCCGGGAGCGGAAACCGCGCATGGATTTTGAGCGAGCAGCTCATACAATGCTGCACGGCTGTGCGTGAGGACGTGGTCGACACCGTGGTCCCAGGCGGTGTTGGGCCTTGGGTCGTGCCTACGTACGCTCTGCCACCTCTGATGCGTTCTTGGGGCCGCTTCGGCTTCTGGTCAGGCTGGTGATCGAACCTCCCCGCATTCGCGAAAGCGTGTGTCTCGTGTTGGGCCAGCTGCAGGTGCACCATGCAAACATCTCGCACGTATGCCGACGCAGCTGTCGATGATGGTGATGCTGCTGACGATGACGGTGGTGATGATGACGAGTCTGATGAATATGGTGAGGAATCTGCGATAAAAAGCAGGAGGGGGGATGAGGAGACTGATGACGTCACAGGACGGCGGAGTGCGGGAGGAGGTCGGGAGGGAGGCAGACGACCCGCACGACATTGCCCGACTCCGCCTCGCTATGCTCCTCTTCCCCGCTGGGCGGCTGCGCGGGCCACCGCAGAAGCTCCCAGAAAGGCCCCAAGCACAACACGAGCGCCCATGTTCGGTATCGCGAGGGAGACGAGTGAGTGAGGAGGTTTCGAGCTTCTCAGAATTCCAGGGGCCCGCTTTTTGTTCTTGGGGGAGGCAGCCAGTCGGGGCAGCTAGTTCGAAAAAACGGAACGGGCGCTGGTCACCGTTTGCGCGCGCGCGCGCCGCAGGCGCGGCAAGACGGGTCAACGCCGCTGCTGATAGCCATCAGGAGCGGCCACGAGGAGGTGGTGCAGATTCTGTGCGACAACGGCGCGGACAGGACATCCAGCACTATTTCTAGGGAGCAGCATTATCAGCAGCGCTAGCAGTTTTAGTGGTTGTAATCGCAGTAGTACGCGGGGAGTTTATACCAGACCGCTGCTGTACACTTGTTGTCGTGGTAGTGGCTGAGTGGTAATGATAGTAGTAATGCTGTAAGTGTGGTGGTGGTAGTGCTACAGGTCGTACTTAGGGCGATCGTGTGTTCGTAGTCGTACTTAATGGTGGTTGTGTAGTAGTATACTGTGTAGTGGTCATCTGGGAAGTGGTATTCGGGGTAGTGGGAGTATTGGAACTGGTATAGCAAGTGTTGGGGAAGTATACGTCACGCCTGGAGGCCTTTCGGTATGGGTCGGTGGGATGTCCAAGGATTCCTTTCGGATTCCCCAGGGATTCCCATGGCTTCCCTCGGATTCCCTATGGATCCCTAGGGCTTCCTGCTGCTAGATTTTCCTTGGGATTCCTACGGGTTCCTGGGGTTCCTTAGGGAATCCTTCGGGACTCCCAAGGGATTCCCGTAGGATTCCTTGCGGATTCCCAGGGTTTCCTTGAGGAGCTCATCGGAATTTCTTAGGACTCCCTAGGTATTCCCAGAGATTCCGACGCCAAGGGATTCCTAGGGGTTCTTACACCCAGGGAGCCTTCAGGGTTCCCATGGATTCATAGGGATTCCCAGGGATTCATAAGATCCCCCGGGGGCTCCCAATGGATTGTCTAAGCATTCCAAGGGCTTGTCTTAGGATTCCCTAGGATTCCCTCGGATCCCGTAGGGATTCCGACTTCAAGGGGTTCCCAGGGATTTCTATTCTTAGGGGTTCTTATGGGTATCTAAGGATTCGGGATGTCGGCGGTTGCCTAGAATTCCCGAGGGATTCTTAGGGCGTCCCTGGGGATCCCAACGGATCCCTAGGGATTCCGACCCCCAGGGGTTCCTAGGGCGGTGAGGGGAGGGGAGAGGAGGGAGGGGAGGGAGGGGGGAGGGGGGAGGGGAGGGGAATGGGAAGGGCGGGGAAGGGCGGGGAGGGAGGGGAGGGGAAGGGAGGGAGGGGAGGGGAGGGAGGGGAGGGAGGGGAGGGAGGGGAGGGAAGGGAGGGGAGGGGAGGGGGGGAGGGAGGAGGAGGGAGGGATGGGAGGGGAGGGGAGGGAGGGGGGGGGAGGGAGGGGAGGGAGGGGAGGGGAGGGGAGGGAGGGGAGGGAGGGAGTGAGGGGAGGGAGGGAGGGTGAAGGGGAGGGGAGGGGAGGGGAGGGAGTGAGGGGAGGGAGGGAGGGAGGGAGGGAGGGAGGGAGGGAGGATGGGGAGGGGGGAGGGACGGGGGGAGGAGGGAGGGGGGAGGGAGGGGGGGGGGAGGGGGGGAGGGGGGGACGGGGGGAGGGAGGGAGGGAGGGCGGGAGGGGGGGAGGGAGGGAGGAGGGAGGGAGGGAGGAGGGAGGGAGGGCGGGAGGGAGGGAGGGAGGGAGGGAGGGGGGAGGGAGGAGGGAGGGAGGGAGGAGGGAGGGAGGGAGGGAGGGAGGAGGAGGAGGAGGAGGAGGAGGAGGAGGAGGAGGAGGAGGAGGAGGAGGAGGAGGAGGCGGAGGCGGAGGCGGAGGCGCAGGCGGAGGCGGAGGCGGAGGCGGCGGCGGAGGCGGCGGCGGCGGAGGGGAGGAGGAGGAGGAGGAGGAGGGGGAGGAGGAGGAGGAGGAGGAGGAGGAGGAGGAGGAGGAGGAGGGGGAGGAGGAGGAGGCGGCGGCGGCAGAGGAGGAGGAGGAGGAAGAGGAGGAGGAGGAGGAGGAGAAGGAGGAGGAGAAGGAGGAGAAGTGGGATGAAGAGGAGGGAGGAGGAGGAGGAGATGGAGGAGGATATAGTTATCTGCGCACCATTTCTTGTTTTAGTATTAATATCGTTTTCGTTATTATTATGATTGTTAGTATTATTCTTATTAGTTCTTGTCGATTCTTGTGTCTTGGATGAACTTCAGTTTACATGTGAACCTGAGGAGGAGAAGGTGGATGATGATCATGATGACGATGCTGATGATGATGATGATGCTGATGATGATAATGATGATGATGATGCTGCTGCTGATGATGATGCCGATGATGATGCTGATGATGATGGTGCTGATGATGATGAAGGTGATGATGCTGATGATGAATGGTGATCATGACGATGATGATGAGGCTGAGGAGGAGGAGGCGGATGATGATGATGATGATGATGCTGATGATGATGATGATGATGATGATGATGATGATGAGGATGATGATGATGATGATGATGATGATGATGATGATGATGATGGATGATGATGATGATGAAGAAGATGATGATGATGATGATGATGATGATGATGATGATGATGATGATGATGATGATGATGATACTGCTGCTGCTGCTGCTGCTGCTGATGATGATGATGATGATGATGATGATGATGATGATGATGATGATGATGATGATGATGATGATGATGAGTAGGGGGAGGAGGATGAGGAAGAAGATAATGTATACTTTGCTGCCGCCCCAAATCCTTGCCCCGGGTCATCGGAGGTCGTCGGCGGCGGGTTCCCGAGGCCCGAAAAAGGGTCCTTAGTCGGCGCCACCGAAGCCTACCAATACCGTGAGCGCGTCGCTCCCAAGGGGGCGACGCGCGCGTCGAGAAATCTGATACCATATGCTCCGTGGCGGGCGCTGAATGGCCGTACCGCTCGGGTAGCGATGTGTGACAAGATGGTTCTACTAGATGCTCGGGTCGGACGCAGGCTTCCGAGGAGCACACAGAGTATTAGTATGTCCTCGTGCGTCCCGCAGAGCATCAGACCCCCCCTCTGGACCCTCGAGAGTCGAGGGCAGCACTTGGCAGGGCACGGGCGAGGCGAGGCGGAGTGAGCCGTCGATAGCCGAGGGACGAGGCACGATGTCGGGAAAACAAATCTATACACCGACGCTTTCTCCAGCCCTGCACTGACACTTGCACAGGAAAGCGGATCCAGGTGTATACGGGATCTTTGTGTATACATGTTTCGTTGTGTCCCCCGGAAAGGCGGGGAGAAAGTATACACCACACCACCCCGCCGTCGTCACCGACCTTCAAAAAATCCTGGGATTGAAGATCAGCCCGTCACTGGCAATGTTTTTTTTACGCAGGACGAATGATTTTCCTCCTGAGGTAGAAATGGCCACGATGAGTTCGCGAGATAACATCGGCGCCGCCGAACGGACGGCGTCTGGACGAGCTGCGCGCAGCAACCAGGAGGAGAGAGATGTATTCATGTTGAGTGGGGCCCGCGCGCGCGGAAAGTTGATGGGAGTGCGTGAGACAGAGCAGGACCCTTCTTGGGAAGTTGATGACCGAACCCCCTCCTTCGTAGAATCTTAGCACGGGCGGGTTCCGCGGTCCGCGGATCCGATTTCCTCCGGTTCCCTGTTTGAATTTAAGAATACAAGTTTTAAACGGGGTAAACATCGGACCCGCCGTAAACGATATGGGCGGGCGCGCATCCAGACAATCCGAAATCGGATCCGCGCGGACGGAAATCGGATCCACCGACACAGAAACCAACATCAAACTCCATTGGATCCGGCGGTGGTTATCCCATACGCGTTTGTTCAAGACGTAAAACCGTCGTTCCGGGTCCAAGAGGAAAAACTTTCGTCCTGGGGATGTATGCTTCAATTTCCGACGATGACCAAGACCAAGATGTCGCGGGATCTTGTCGATTCCGATCTTCGTCATGGTCCATGCCGGCCGTCGCCGATTCGAGAGGATGATCCACGACTTGACGATTGCCAAGATGGGCGATTACCAACTGCATTGTATCTTCGGGGGGCTTTTCCTGTCCTGTAAAGGTTGTTTTTTCTTGCGTCTGACGGGGGGTCGACATGGGTCGACGCGGATTCGGCATCGACACGACGCGGATTCGTTGTGGATTCGCGTGGGCTTCGCCTCGTTCGGCATGTATTCGACGCTGTTTCGGCGCGGAATGCGGTGCGAAGAGACAGACGAGGCCTCCCGAATATGCAGCGTAACGCCAAGCTCGACAACCCACGTTTCTGCGAGCCGACGAGGACCCAAATGGACGAGGCCCCCGCGGCCGCCGCGACCAACAACGGTTTGTCCTGCGTTGGCGCGCTGGCTGCC